TCACATTATGCCTATTGAGACACAGACACATTCATATCCTTTGCAGTAAGAGAAGTCAGTGTTCTTGAAGTCCCAAATTGAAGGTGTGGATAAATCTTGCCTCTTAGTCTCACACAAGGCAGCTGTCTCACGCTATTAAAAGAAAAAATACATTAACAAATTGATGTCAGTCACACTTTAAACAACCCATCACCAGCTCAATGCATCCAAGTCAAAGAAACCCCATAACACAGCTGTGCCCACTGTTCTCCCTCAACAACTACACACATCAGCCTCCTGCCCCAGGATCTCACCTTTACAAGCCATGAGAGACACATCAGAGCCCTGGGGACTGTTGCTGCCTGGGGTAGAACAAAAACAGAATCTGGTCAGAGCCTACAGGAAACGCCACTAGAGGAGGAATTGTGGGCTGGGTGAGCTCCCCCATGGGCTCCCGATCACAATATCCAGTGATCTCAGGGATCAGCCTCCTTCATACTTACTTGCAGCCTGAGAGTAGCTTCTCTCCATTTTTATCTGTGGGAAGAAAATATCCTGTGAAGGGTCAGAAAGGTGGCAGGGGCCATGAGGTCTTAGAGACTCTCCTAGTCTTGGACCCCAGAGAAGTTTCCAGAAATGTGTGACTGCAGACTCAGGGAAGGATCAGGAAAAACAAGAAAAGCAGGTGTGGGTCCTCGACCAACTGCCCTCCTAAGGACTATCCTCAGCAGGGACGTTCCCTTGTGACTTGTGACTGCTGGGATCAGGTCCCCATCACCACAGTCATCAAGGTGATACATCTGTCCTTCATTGTCCCAGGTGCTTTACACAAGAGTAAGTGCTGTGTCGGCTTACACAGGGCCCAGGCTGGGTTGGCTCATGAGTGTGGATGAAGCTTTCCAGTAACCAGGCAGGACACACTTCAACCTGGGGCTTGGAACCCTCAGTGGGACAAGAAATCTCAGACCCCACTCCTAACCCTTCCTCACCTGAGCTCTTCTTCCTCCACATCACAGCAGCGACCACAGCTCCAGTGACTACAGCTCCAGTGACGACAGCTCCAAAGACAGCCAGGCCAACAATGATGCCCACAACAGGGATGGTGGGCTGGGAAGACGGCTCTGGGAAAGGAGGGGAAGGTGAGGGTCCCAGACTCCCAGGACCCAGCCCCAACCCTGCTGAAAGGTTGCACAGTGGCTCCTGCTTTCCTAACAGACATGACACCCCATCCCCTCCTTACCCTATCTCAGGGTGAGGGGCTCGGGCAGCCCCTCATGCCTCACATGGCATGTGTATCTCTGCTCCTCTCCAGAAGGCACCACCACAGCCACCCACTTCTGGAAGTTCCCATCCCCTGTGGGACTGGTCTCCACAAGCACCATGTTTTGGGTCTGTTCCTCCCCATTTCGCTACCAGGTCAGTGTGATCTCCTCATGGTAGAAGCCCAGGGCCCAGTACCTCAGGGTGGCCTCATGGTCAGAGACGGGGTAATGGGTCACCTGTGTCTTGGGGGGCTCTGAAGGGAAGAGTCAGAAAATTCAGACATCTTGCATCTATCATGGGACACCACTGCAGCACCCATGTTGACCATTGTGAGAATAGACAGGACACCTGGGGTGGGGAAGGGAGCACAGAACACAGACACCAGCCTGGACACAGGCACCTGGGATATCTCCTATTCCTTTGAAAGTTCTAGTCTCTGAGTGGGGAATAGGGGCTTCTGGTTCTGATCTGAGGTGGAGGCCAAGGGACTCAGAGGAGCTGGAGTCAGACCCCCGCACACATTGAGTGTGAGGCAGAAAACAAGACAGGAGAGAAAAAATCCTGGTGCCCAACGCCGCTGTTGTGTCACAGGGAATGCCTGATCAGTATTCCAGGAATTGACTTCCCCTCATTTCCCTTAGATACTGCAACCCTTAATTGTATCAGAGAGCAGGGCAGGCCCTCAGTCACTCTCTGGTACAGGATCTGGAAACCCAGGAGGATTCCTCTCCCTCAGGACCGGAGGGAGGGTGATACTCTAGTGTTGGTCCATTTTCCTCTCCTCCTTCTGCAAGGCCAGGCTGGGACGTCTAAAGGAGATCAGGGAGGTGCCCCCCTGGCTTCTGGTACCCGAGAGCTGCAGCGTCTCCTTCCTGTTCTCCAGGTATCTGAGGAGCGACTCCAGGCACCTGCCCTCCAGGTAGGCTTTCAACCTCTCAGTATCATTGGCTGCCTCCCACTTGCGCTGGGTGATCTGAGCCGCCACGTCTGCGGCCGTCCAGGAGCGCAGGTCCTCGTTCAGGGCTAGGTAGTCCTTGCCGTCGTAGGCGAACTGGTTATACCCGCGGAGGAGGCGACCGTCCGGCCCCAGGTCGCAGCCATACATCTTCTGGAAGCTGTGAGACCCTAGCCCCGCCCTTGCGTCAGCTCCGCCCATTTTCAGTTTAGGCAAAAGTCCCCTGTCCCCGCGCCACCAACCCGCGGGGATTTTTGCCTAAACTGAAAATGAAACCGGGTAAAGGCGCCCGAGTTTCTCCGGGGTCGAGGGTTTTGGGCGGGTCCCGCAGCCTCAGGGTGGATCTTAAACCCGGAGACTCCCGGCGACCCGGGCTGTCCGTGGGGTGGGGAGGGGTCGTGACCTGCGCTCCGGGCCGGGGTCACTCACCGGCCTCGCTCTGGTTGAAGTAGCCACGCAGGGTCTGCAGGTTCACTCGGTGTTAATGAACTCAACACAAAATGGGACATTTTAAAAAGTACAAAATATAAGCATGATAAAAATTTGGCAAATACTTCCTTTTTATCAAGATCAATTTATATCTTCTGTAAGTTCAAGCAGAATGAAGCCCATACAGCCTCAGAAGAGGTGGCTCTCCTGAGAGAATCTTTTTTTAAGTTAAATAAGCAGAAACAGAATTTCTGGAGAAAGTAAGACTTTGGAGAACTTCACAGCACCACTTCCTGCTGTCTCAAATTTCCCAGACTTGGGGAGTGTTCACCTACTGGGGAAAACTAAACTTTGGTCCTGTTCTTTTTTGTTCTTATTGCAAGACTAGAATTTCAGAAAACCAAGAGAAAGCATCAAGCCAAAGGAATGTACTCTCTTTTATTTTTTTTCAATATCCACTACCAAGGATGATCCACACTTTATGAGTTGAATTGTGTCCCTCCTCATCCAAAATTCATATGTTGAAATCCTATGTTGAGAAGACAGAAGTGGCCATCTACAAGACAAGAAGAGAGCGCTCAGAAGAAATCCACCCTGCAGCACCTTGACCTTGGACCTGTAGCCTCCAGAACTGTGAGGTAATACATATTTATTATGTAACTCACCCAGCCTGTGGTACTTTGTTATGGAAGTCCTACTAGCAATTGAAACAGAAATATTACCTTTCCTATCCTGTCCTATGTATGAACATGAGATTTTTTAAGAGTATGAATTACCTGGGATTCCAAAGCATAGAGAGAGTCAGTAGAAAATGGATACTATAGGGTCAGTTCCAAGCCTCTGTGGATCTTCTGGCCACCACACAGACATGGATGTGTCCCCATTCTTTTCTAGTTTCACACAAAGCAAAAGTTGTAGACCTAAACTGACATAGAATCAAAAATGGTGTTTAATTCACTTACGATATTGAAGAAGCAATTTTTGCCAGCAAGATGGCTGAATAGGAACAACTCCGGGTGTGTTGCTCCCAGTGAGATCTACACAGAATGTGGGTGATCTCTGCATTTCCAACTGAGGTACCTGGTTCATCTCATCAGGACTGGATGGACAGTGGGTGCAGCCGAAGGACAGCAAGCCAAAGCAGGTTGGGGCATCACCTCACCTGGGAAGTGCAAGGGGCCAGGAAACTCCTTGTTTTAGCCGGGGGAAACCATTAGGACTGTCCTCTGCACCCCAGCCCAGATACTCTGCTTTTCCCATGGTCTTTACAACGAACAGAGCAGGAGATTCCCTCTGGTACCTACAATGCCAGTGCTCTGGGTTTCCAGCACAAAACTGGTTGGCCATTTGGGAAGACACTGAGCTAGCTGCAGCAGTTTTTTTTTCTTCTCATACCCCAGTGGAGCCTAGAATGCCACTGAGACAGAACTGTTCACTCCCCTGTAAAGGGGACTGAAGCCAGGGAACCAAGTAATTTGGCTGGTTGGGTCCCCTCCTTCCCCCACGAAAAGCAGCAAACTAAGATCCACTGGCTTGAAATTCTTGCAGCCAGCACAGCAGTCTGAGCTTGACCTGGGACATTTGAGCTCAGTGGGGAGATTGGCATCCACCATTGCTGAGTCTCTAGTAGGCAGGTTTAACATCACAGCCAGGAAGTTTGAACTGGGTGGAGCCCATGGCAGCTCAGCAAGGCCTCTGCAGGCAGACTGTCACTAGCCTCCCTCCTCGCTGTGCAGGACATCTCTGAAAAAAAGGCAGAAGCCCATCAGGAACTTGTAAATAAAGCCCCCATCTTCCTGGGACAGAGCACTTGGGAAAAGGGGCCAAAGAGAAAGGTTGGGTTGCCCAAAAGGTAAGCCCATTAGTGCAGAAACCCTACAAGCCAGAAGAGAGTGGGGGTCAATATTCAACATTCTTAAAGAATTTTCAACCCAGAATTTCATATCCAGCCAAACAAGCTTCATAGGAAAGGAGAAATTTATAGACAAGCAAATGCTGAGATTTTGTCACCACCAGACCTTCCTTACAAGAGTTCCTGAAGGAAGCACTAAACATGAAAAGGAACTACTGGTACCAACCACTGTAAAACATACCAAACTGTAGAGACCATCGATGCTATGAAAAATCTGCATCAACTAATGGGCAAAATAACCAGCAAGCATCATAATGACAGGAATAAATTCACACATAACAATATTAACCTTCAATGTAAATTGTAAATGGTCTAAATGCCCCAATTAAAAGACACAGACTGGCAAATTGAATAGAGTCAAGACCCATCAGTGTGCTATATTCAGGAGACCCACCTGATGTGTAGACACACATAGGCTCAAAATAAAGAGATGAAGGAAGATTTACTAAGCAAATTGAAAGCAAAAAAAAAAAGCAGAGGTTGCAATCCTAGTTTCTGATAAAACAGACTTTAAACCAACAAAGATCAAAAGAGGCAAAGAAGGACATTACATAATGCTAAAGGGATCAATGCAACAAGAAGAGTTAATTATCCTAAATATATATGCACCCAATACAGGAGCACCCAGCTTCATAAAGCAAGTTTTTGGAGACCTACAAAGAGATTAGACTCCCACACAATAATGGGAAATTTAACACCCCACTGTCAATATTAGAGTGATCAACAAGACAGAAAATGGACAAGGAAATCTGGGACTTGAACTCAGCTCTGGACCAAGCAGAGTTAATAGACAGCTACAGAACTCTCCACCCCAAATCAACAGAATATACATTCTTCTTAGCACCGCATCTCACTTATTCTAAAATTAACCACATAATTGGAAGTAAAATACTTCTCAGCAAATGCAAAATAATGGAAATCATAACAAACAGTCTCTCAGACCACAGTGCAATTAAATTAAAACTCAGGATTAAGAAACTTACTCAAAAATTTACAACTACATGGAAACCAAACAACCTCCTCCTGAAAGACTACTGGGTAAATAATGAAATGAAGTAAAAAAAAATGTTATTCGAAACCAATGAGAATGAAGACACAGTATACCAGAACTTCTGGGACACATTCAAGCAGTGTGTAGGGGAAATTTATAGCACTGAGTGCCCAAAAGAGAAAGGAAGAAAGATCTAAATTGACACCCTAATATCACAATTAAAAGAACTAAAGGAGCATTAGCAAACAAATTCAAAAGCTAGTAGAAGACAAGAAATAACTAAGATCTGGGCAGAACTGAAGAAAATAGAAACATGAAAACCCCTTCAAAAAAAACCCAAAGAATCCAGGAGTTGTTTTTTGAAAAAATTGACAAAATAGATAGAATACCAGCCAGACTAATAAAGAAGAAAAGAGAAGAATCAAATAGACGCAATAAAAAAATGATAAAGAAGATATCACCACCCATCCACAGAAATACAAACTTCCATCAGAGAATACTATAAACAAATCTATGCAAATTAACTACAATATCTAGAAAAATAAATAAATTTGGAAACCCAGCCTCCAAGACTAAACCAGGAAGAAGTAAAATTCCTAAATAGACCAATAACAAGCTCTGAAATTGAGGAAGCAGTTAATAGGCTACCAATAAAAACAACTTCCTGGACCAGACAGATTCACAGCTGAATTCTACCAGAGGTACAAAGAGGAGCTGGTGCCATTCCTTCTGAAACTCTTCCAAACAATACAAAAAGAGGGAATCCTCCCTAACTCATTTTATGCCACAAACATCATCCTAATACCAAAACCTGGCAGAGACTCAACTAAAGAAAGTTTCAGGCCAATATCCATGATGAACATCAATGTGAAAATTCTCAATAAAATACTGGCAAACTGAATCTAACAGCATATCAAAAAGCTTATCCATTATGATCAAGTCAGCTTCATTCCCGGGATGCAAGCCTAGTTCAAAATATGCAAATCAATAAATGTAATCTACTACATAAACAGAACCAAAGACAAAAAACACCTCATTATCTCAATGAATGCAGAGAAGACCTTCAACAGAATTCAACAGCCCTTCAGGCTAAAAATTCTCAACAAACTAGGTACTGATGAAATGTATCTCAAAATAAGAGCTATTTATGACACATCCACAGCCAATATCATACTGAATGGGCAAAGACTGGAAGTTTTACCTTTGAAAACTGGCACAAGACAAAAATGCCCTCTGTCACCATTCCTATTCAACATAGTATTGGAAGTTCTGGCCAGGGCAATCAGGCAAGAAAAAGAAATAAACTATATTCAGTAAGGAAAAGAGAAAGTCAAATTGTCTCTATTTACAGACGACATGATTGTATATTTAGAAGAAAACTTCATCTCAGCCTCAAATCTCCTTAAGCTGATAAGCAACTTCAGCAAAATCTCAGGATACAAAATCAATGTGCAAAATCACAAGCATTCCTATACACCAGTAACAGACAAACAGAGAGCCAATTCATGAGTGAACTCCTATTCACAATTGCCACAAAGAGAATTAAATACCTAGAAGTACAACTTACAAGGGATATGAAGGACCTGTTCAAGGAAAACTATATATCACTGCTCATGGAAATAAGAGAAGACACAAACAAATGGAAAAACATTCCATACTTATGGATAGGAAGAATCAATATTTTGAAAATGGCCATACTGCCCAAAGTAATTTATAGATTCAATGTTATTCCCATCAAGTTACCATTGACTTTCTTCACGGAATTGGAAAAAAAAAAACAACACCTTAAATTTCATATGAAACCAAAAGAGCTCACATAGCCAAGACAATCTTAAGCAAAAACAAACAAAAAAACCCAAAGCTGGAGGCATCCTGCTACCTGATTTTAAACCATGCTACAAGGCTACAACAATCAAAACAGCATGGTACTGGTACCAAAACAGAGATATAAACAAATGGAACAGAATAGAGGCCTCAGAA